GGTAATTATAATCCATAAAAGATATTTGAAGGAAGAAGTTTTAAATTTGAAAATGTAACTTTTCTTAGAATTATAATTTGATTATTTTTCGCGGAGTTACAATGCTTCGAAAATTGCTATTTTAAAAACAATTTGTTTTGATTCTCTAATAATTGTTGCTTTGAATATATATAAAAGATTCTAAAAAAATTATATTATTTCACTCTTTCTGAAAAATTAATCTTTTTTTGAAATATTAATAATATAGAACTCATTAAAAGAAATAATTATACAATATTGTAAATAAATTGTGACTATAATTGATTACCTTGATTCAACCATCTGCTTAATGTTTCTTTCACAAACTTACGCATATTTTTAAATCTATTAGAAACAATTTATTGATACAGTCAGAATCAAGTTTCTCAATTTCAAGTTTCTCTGAAGTAATTCTGTACATGTAATTTCTAATCAATTTAAAATTACAACAAAAATGTTAATTATCAAATACGACTCTCTCTGAAAACGAAAACAGGCATTTTAAAGTACTAGTAGTATAATTATCGAATGCGTAAAAAAATTCTTTTTAAAGTTTTTAAAGTTTTTAACGTAGCTTTTATTCTTAATATTTCAAATATTGTTATGAATACTTCGATAAGAGTGATTCTGTATCATCGAAATTATTGCATTTCTGATCTTTCTTCGGTAATGTTGTACATGCGTGTATAATACACAACACACACACACACAACACACACACACACACACACACACACACACACACACTTGCGTGCGCGCACGAAAATCTTGATAATATTTACTTTCTTTAAGACTCTGTTGAGTGAGGGGGGGGGAGAGGGGAGCCGCGGGCAAAGTGTGGTAGTACGAAACGAAATTCGTGACAGCATGCATGGAGAAATGATGTACGATGTGGCAATAAACATAATTGTAATGCGCATTATAAACAACGGCTTATGTGGTTCAGTTATGCTACAATGAGTGTTTTAATTGAAATTTATAATTGAAATTTATTTATTTTTTCTTAGGTTTTTCTTAGGTATCGTAATTTTTATCGAATGTAGCTTTACTTGTAGCTACTAATATCTTTATTAGAATTATCGAAATTTCTATAACTTTATGATTTTGTGTAATTTTGAGAAATTTGCCTATAACTTTCGGAATTTTTAAATAGAAAGTACGTGTACATTGAATCATCCATATATTATAATTAACATAAATTAAAATCTGAATTTTTTCGAAACTTCTACTTCGAAACGTTAAAACTTTAAAAAGAATTTTTTTACGCATTCGATAAATTCGATTGCTTTTATTATTAGGTAATATAGAATAGACTGTAGATCAAGGTTAACTTCTTTCTTTAGCTGAAAGGATAGAAAAGTTAGTATAAATGTCAAGGTAATATAAAACAGGTAATATAAAATGTAGCGTTTGAACTGGCTATTTGAGTGTTTTGAGAGATGGATAATCAGACTGGCTCTTTGAAACACCTTATATATTTATTGATATACATATATATATACATATATATATATATATATATATATATATATGTATTTTTTCTATATACATATATTTAAATAATTTTACATGTATATTTCATATTATCTATACATATATATTTCTAAGCCAAATTTCTTAAAAAACATTTTTTCGTTATCTTTCAATATTTATTATCAAATTGGCAAATTGTATTAAATGCAAAGATAAAATTGCAATATTGATTTATAAGATCAACACATGAAGCATTTTTCTAATTCGTGAAGCATAAATACAGTCGACTAAACTTCTAACGTTTTTAGTATTGAAAAATATCAATCAATTAGCATTATTCTGTTAATTAGTATTAATTAGAATAATATTAACTATATATAAACATAAAAATATATTTATAGAAACTTATTTAAATATAGAAAACAATTGTAAATAGAAATTAAAATAACTGACGTATACATAATTTAACTAAGTTCCTTGCTGTTTCCCACATATAAAATTTCTTTATTTAAATAATCAATTTTCAATCCTTTTCCTACATAAGTCAGTATTTTCTTTACGTATATGGTTACTTTTATGACTAATCTGCTTAATGCAGCGGTACTAAAATTTTGAATTACACACTATTTATCATGTGCAACAATGACACCGCGGATAAAAGATTGTTTTCTCGATGTCTTACGATTAATTTAGTTGAAAACTTTGTAACTCAAGTCCATTCATTATATAATTATACGTAATACCTAACAGACACGTTGCAGCGTCTACACTCTAAAAAAATTCCCGAAGAGCAAAGTTCAACGAAAAATAGCAATCATTTTTGCATTTTAAGATAAAATACATAAACTTAAAGATAAAAGATTAAAGATTAGTATTAAATTAATATTAGTTTTATCTCTTAAAATGTTTTTTATTAAAAAAATGTGTAAAACACACAAAAAAATTAAAAATTATTCTGAAGAAAAACATTGCGATAAAAATATATTATTGACATTTTTTAAATTGGTCAATGTAGTTTTCATTTTAAGAATAGAATGTGTCTTGCAGAAGAAGTTTTGTTTCATGACTGATATAACAAAATATTTTGATAAGATGTATGGAAGGTTGTATGGAGAAATACTGATTATGCTCCCATATTACACTGACAACTATGCGACCATAATTTGTGAATGAAACCAGTTATCAAAAGAACTATACTGGTTTTCCATTGATAAATTACATACAGACACGTTTTTGTTACATTTCGCCGAAATCTTTCCCGCATGAAATAAATAATAGCCTTCATTATTAACAGATGTAAATGAACACGTCAGTGAATAAATGTCATGTAATAAATGATACGAGTCTTTAAATGTAACAAATATATATTTTGCAATTTAGTTATTAGTAAGATACGTTGTTGCAATATTACATCTAATAAGACCAAATATTTTGGATTATGTTGCATTATAAATTGTTTCAGGAATTCTAAATAGGATAATAAAAGTTCAATTAAAAAGTAATAAATTATTTGTGTCATGTTTTTAATATCTTTATGTATATTCAACATCAAATACAAAGGATTTATTTAAAAAAAAAAACTTATATTTCAAAAATGCATAAAAGTCAGCAAACATCATTATTAGATCCAGATGTAATCTATTCCATTCAACGAAATTTATTGTCACAAGTTGAATATGCGGATTTATAGATACAATAATTTTTTTATCAGGCAATATTTTTGTAACGTCTACAAGATTTTTTACTCTCTCAATATTCAATAAAGAATTTTTCCCCACGAACATATTGCATTTTCTTAGAATTAAATATTTTCAGATGATATTGTGTGTGTTAAGAAGTTTTGCACAAAGCACATATTAAATAGTTAAAGAGATATTGTCATAAATGTTTTCACATTTATTAGTGATTTGCACAAGCATGCAAAAAGAAATTCGCTACACTTTGAAATCTATACAATGTATCTCTTTGATTATATCTCACCTTAATTACTGCAGTCACGTTCACTGACATATCGGTATATAATCGGCATGGATATCGCACGTACGAAAGGACGAAAGTAAGTTTTGCTTTCTGATGATTAGGCGAACATGTGTTCGCCAACGCAGTTCTTAATATGTATCTCGCAAAGCTTCTAGATAGGAATATAATTGTAAATAAAATTTAACAATATTAATTGCAATATTATATAAGATTTTTTCTGCGGACGTATGCATTTCTTGCTAAAATACGATGGTTTGGTAAAATACGATGAAATATGTATTTCATTAAAATTTCGATTATACGTATAAGATAGATTGCAAATATATTTAATAAACAACTGAAATAATTTTTTTTATCAAAACTGGTTGCATGTTACGGTTGATTTTCTGCAGTTTCTCAAAAGTATATCTTATTTTAAAAAATTTTATGTTGAAATTCAATATATATTATATATGCGTTTCTTTGTTACTTTATATTGTAACAAGTTTTTTATTATAATTTTATCTCAAGTAAGAATAAAGAGATTTGCAAATTTGAAGTGTATAGCGACCCTAGCTTTGAATCTTACTATCAACTGAGTGTTTTAGACATATTTGTCAGAATCGAAGGAAGAAAGCCGAGTCTTTTCCGAATCTTTCTTACGCATTTGTAAATCAATATGAGAGGCGTTCGCGTGATACGCGGCTTGAATAAATATGTACGGACGGCCTTCGATATCTATAAAGATGCAGAAATTATGCACTTTTTTAATTTGTGGACAAACTTAACATTTACAAATTGTTCATGTGCCAATTTGTAAAAGTTCGCACCTACCATAAATTTTAACGATCATTGAAGTCAATTAATAATAACAAGCACTAAACGAGCGTGCAAAGTAATATTTACTGCATTCCATGCAGTTGCTGAAAGAGTAGTAGTATTTTGTTAATTACAAGAATTGACGACGCGTAAACATGCAAATTTTGATCGTCGCGTGTGTATTTTATAATTGATTCAACAATTGATGTTTAAAAGATGAAGCTGTACACAGAACAAACGGTGATATGCATTCCGCAATTATATGTATGCGTGCATAAATGCAACTTATCCACGTGCTTTGTCAACGAGTTTAAAATATGTTATTTATTTTCTCGCCACATATAAAAGTATACCGCGTACCGGGAAGTCTTTTATTTATTTGTTTAATGAGCGCGTCTCTTTCCGCGAATACTAATTTTTTTTCAAGTATTCTTGACCGCGTAAGCTTAATGATCAGGCAATATTAATATTAATTACCAGTTAAAAGCACCAATAATTAATATGTTTTTGCAAAACGCATAAAATAACAAACTAATTTTTGCTATTTATTAACAAATTTACTGATTTTTATAAAAAGTAACTCAATTCCTACAAACTATTGCTACGTAAATAGTAAAAGCAATACTTTTTACAACAATAAAGTACTAAATTTTACAATTTTATTATAAAAATTATTATTAACATGAACGTTGTATTGTCTCACGCAAAAATATATAAAATTCTAGACTCACCATAGTGCGGGTTCATGTAATGTACTTCTGGACTGTCATCGCTCCATATAATCTTTTCGGAATCTATTGTATAATTGCCAAGGCTGCTTATTAGTTCGACGAAAGTGAAGTTTTTGGTTGTGTCGGTTTTGTTGCGCGAAAGCACGCCAAGTATGTCTTCCTCCTTAAAAGCGTTAAGACCGCTCGAAGATGTCAAAACGTCCACCGACGACTCTTCAGCACACGATAAACTAATCAGACTGAGAATTGCCAAAATTCTCACAAACGTTCCCATTTTTTTTCTTCGACAAGATTGTCGGGATCTCACGAATTGCCACACAGAAAAATCGATCGAGAATTGTAATTTAATTTTTCTTGCTGCGATTGTTGGTGTTTTTTCAAGATGTCGATAAAGGAGTTGACGTGATTAATCGTAGATCATCTTCACATTTACGCGAATATCATTGGAAATCTTCACTAAGGCAGGCAAGAGGTAAGCAGAAATTTGTTATTTGTCTAGATCACTGAAAATGCTCTCTCGAATAAAGAGTAGAATTGCGATGAGTTGGCGCAGGACGGCCGATTAGGGAATCGTATGTGCTACCGAATGTCTCGCGATCGGCATTGCCTAGCTATTTGAAGGTGAGCTTTACAAATGATTGCGGCACGATCGCGTAACGACCAACTCACCTGCGGCCACCTTGCCAATAGGAAGATCGAGAAGAGGGGTAGACCGTGTCACACGTTTATTCCCTCCCACTCTTAGAAGAAGGATATCATGTTCATGTAGTAAGACGGAAAAGGTAACTAAGCGAAGGCGTTTTTAGTAAATCATTGAAGGCAAAATAATGACCATGAAATGTGATGAAAGATCCATATCAATATTCTGGCATATTCTTGTCTCCCGATTTCGATTAATATATTTTTATTGGGCTTTTTATGACTTTTTTTTATTAGTAAAAGAAATTTTTTGTAAGAAAAACTTAAAAAATATATATTAGTAATATATTAAATTAATTACCAAAAAGGCCTCAAAAATTAAAACAATGATAAATAAAGGAGCAAGAAGCCCATGTTGAATGGACGTGCGTATTTATTTCAAAACAGAATATTAACAAACGTTTCGACCTATAACCAGGCCTTCATTAGCGAATGGCAGTGTTAATAACATGCGAAGTAGCGATTAAATTTTATAACTTAATACATGTGTAATACAACACTGATGAAGCCCTGGTTGTAGGTCGAAACGTTTGTTGTTAATATTCTGTTTTGAAATAAATACGCACGTCGATCCAGCATAAACTTATTGCTCCTTTATTTATCATTGTTTTAATAATATATTAATTATCCTGATTGTTTCATATTTTTCAAAAATAAAATTGCAAGTCTCTCACTCGAAAATATTCGCGCACTCTTAAGACCGCATAAGATCGTTGAAGCAATCAAATGACTTATAAGAGAAATAGTGAATTATAATTATTTGAGAATAAGAAATTAGAAAATCATCAAAAAATTTTATTAAAAAACAATTTGTGTTGCGTCATTGATGAAAGAAAGATTAAAAATTGTCGATACAGTATTGTTTTATAGCATCAAGCGAGTCCCACTGTAACGCGAAATATATCATTGCAGTACATCATTATAAACTCGATATTGTTCTAAGCAGTAGCCTTGCAGTTAATTAAAATTCGACGGCAGTTTAGTATGGTTATTCACAACGCCGAATGTACAATGCAATAGAGAAAATATTAGGAATAAGAAATTCGAATTATTTCATTTTAAAACAAAAAATGGAGTAGATTAACACACCACAAATTAGGAATTAAAAATTAGGAATATAATTAATCAATTTCGTTTCCTCGTTTAAAATAAAATAATTGCTCCTCCTAATATTTATTCCTATTCTTAACATTTTCTGTATTGTGTGCAGAGCTAAGCGACACACACACACACACACACACACACACACACACACACACACACACACACACACACACACACACACACACACACACACACACACACACACACACACACACACACACATGCACACGCGCGCGCGCGCGCGCAAACACAAACTCATCCTTAAGACATTCCGTTACAATCTTTGTTAGCCGACTACATTTTCTAGTTATGACATTGAAAATTGCGATTATTATTCAAGTCTGATTGTTTCATTATATAAGATATACTAGGGAATAAAAAGTTTTTAAAGAAGTCTTTAAAATCTTTAAAGATAGTCTTTAAAGAAAAATGAGAAAACAAAAATTATTATACCGTAACGTTGATTCGTTAAAATATTCAGCTTATTTCGCTTATTTTACAACAAAAACAGTATCACGATCTCATTTTTTGTCGCTATTAATTATTATGTTAAAGTTTTAGTCATAAACTCGTGTTACATCAATTATCACATAACTTTATGCAATCTTTGTGTGCAGAAAGATTATTTTGGTCTTTACCACATAAGATTTTAATATAAAAATTTTAATAACAGTGCGTAATAATAAATAAATAATTTTATTTAATATCATATATAATTTTCTGTACGACAATAAAATGCGTGCATTATTTTTAATTTCTATAATGAATAATACATTATATAAATAAAATGAGGGAATGGAATTTCGTATAATTTGTAACTACTATTTGTACTTAAAATATTTATTGTTCTCTTTTATATTTTAGGAAAATTAAATATAGAGATATAGAAATAAAGCTAAAATTTTCTTGCTGAGAGATCTGTGTGATAATTGTGTCACGCAAAATATTGGTTTAATAATTTTTAATAATTAAGAAATAATATGTAACTATATTTTACAAACTTAATGATTTATTTGTGTTTACATGCAAACTGGTTCTTTTAGTGTATATACGTTTATGTGTAAAATAAATTTTCAGTTTAGTAATTTTAAAAGTTGAAATCATTGAAACAAAGAATTTTAATAATTTATTATATTCTAAATAGTTCATAGTTTTTGTACAAGATAAGAGAGGAAAAGATAGCAAATTTTATTATATATATATATATATGTAATAATGTATATGTAATAATGTATATGTAATAATATGTATATGTAATAATATGTATGTGTATATATTTATATACACATATTATTACATATACATATACATATTATTATACATATCAATCAATGTCGCCGAAATATATTGCCTTCACTGATTACCAAGCGTTCGACGATGTTGTGTTTTAGACCGACGTCGAAAGAATTTTGCTGACGCTTGTACATGAGAATGACTGAATAAACACCTAATAAAACATTTGATTTAACAAAAATAGCGCGGCATGATAGACAAGCGTTGTACAATGTTCATTTTGTTCGATTCTATTTGTTTTCCCTGCTTTTTATATGTAGGAGATCAATTAATCCGAAATCAATTAATGCAGAGTATTAAGTATGCCGGTGATTATATGAAAGTAGATTAAGTCAATTAATTTTATAAAAATTAATTTTATCACTTATTTTATGTTACATCCATCAATAAAGTCGAAATATGCTAAAATAAAAAATTATCGGAGTATATGACTTACAATTAGTCCACTTTCATAATCACTGATACAAATATCCGACATATAGCGCATTCAAGAATGAATTCGATTGAGAATCTAAAAAATAATATATCATTATATTAAAAAATATAATACAGTATCACTTGTTTGCTGTATTAAAATATTAACATGCCAGCCATTTTTGCAAGATGTATGCAAGCATTACAAATTATTGTGCGCAAAATTCCATTTTATTGCACAATAGTAATATTTGCGTCGTGTACTCATAAAAAGATACTGTCCAACTGCAAATTGTTTCGTCGAAGGCAATCGGTTGTATAACCTTTAATGTTGTGTTCAGGATATTTGACCTTATTGATAAATCTAGTTTTTCACAATCTTTGAATATTGATATAAAAAAACTAGAAAATGAAGTATTCATAAATGAGAGGCTTTCACAAATGCGAGTATACAAAAATTAATACATTTTAAGCGCATTGTTACACAAGTCTTTTTATTATATATAAAAATAGCATTAAATAAAATAGTATTAAAAATAACATTATTTCTGATCGAAAAAATAACATTACGTGGAAGGGGGAATGCCTAATGTACATAAATATTGATATCAACCGTTTATAGGAAATCGCGCCCTACTGTCGCGGGTAAAACGCGAAATATCGAAATGAAATCACTTGTATGAATCATATGATAATTCTAGATGTGTGCACAAACCATGTCATATTGATTAACAGTGTCCCAATAGTGCAATATCAGCTTAAATAACGAAATTAATCGATTTTTACATAATTTAACCGGATTCAAACGCAGGTTGAGGCAAATACAGGAAAGAGTACATCTTGGCACTCGTATATAATTCGTGTGACAATGTCAGAAGTATGCTCGGTTAAGAGGATGCTGAAGTGACGGGCGAACTCCGACGCGAAAGCGCCATCATTTCGATGATACTAAAAATGAAATGACATTATCGGCGCAGCCTACGGACCTATGCCGCGTAGGTCCGTGTGTACGCATTTGTTTGTAGTGGTGATTCACTACACTGACGTGTGGTCTGTGTACGTGTGTCATCGGAAGTTTGTAAACAAACGATGCTTGCGCTTGTTTCCTCGACTGAAATTTTGTCGCAAGGCTGCAATATAATGTCCGAGAAAACATAAGCGTATACAAGGTGTCAAATAAATACAAACTAAATATGACAAAATAATAAATGAAAAATATACATATAATACTATATATATCATTGAAGAAAAATGTCATATACTTTTCTTACTTTTATCCTTATGTAGTAAATACTAAATAACTAATTAATCAATTAATTAATATATACATATACACATATATTCAATAAATAGTTATCTTTATTTTGTATTTTATATGATAATGACTGAAATAATGTAAGTATATATCATTTCAGTTATATAAAATACAAAATAAAGATAACTATATTCAATATGTATATGTATGTA